GAGAGGGAGAGGGAGAGAGAGATATGCGGTAGTGTCTTCGACCATGTTCAAAACCTAAAAGATACTTCAAGTTTTTTATCCCGAGCCATTAAAGTTCATTTTTTGGGGGTGCATAACTATTAAAATATAAAAAAATTTGAATGAAATGTTATATGTCCTAAAAGGCAGCATCGCTACGAGTAATTTGGGCTAAAAAAATTTAAAATCAGTTAAGCCGTGCTGGACATACGAGCGATCGAAAAGTGATGATTTTCATGAGAAATTAAATAACGTCTCCCTCTCCTTCTCTTTCTCTGTCCTCAGTCATGTGCATCTCTCTCCTGTCTTACCTTTCGCTCACCCCTCCCCCCCTCGCTTCGCTCGTGCTTTCGCGCCCGTCCCGCGCTGCAAACAATATGCCCCCACTTATTACTCATAATATTTTTCATTACACGTGCATGTAATGTGCCCAATACCTCAACGCTTTTGCGTGCGGGAAATAGCCAATACCTTAAGCCGTTGAGTTATTTCTCTAACCCCACTCTTCTGCGCAAAAACGTTTCGACATAGGCACATTACGACGAGCACTTGTAATGAAAAATTCTATGTGTAGCGAGTGGGGGCATATTTATTTATAGGTCGGCACGGGCGCTCGTGCGTTCGCGCCCGTCCCGCGCTATAGGCTGCGACCTGCGTTCCGTTTCACGCATATGCACGCATTCCCCTATAGTATACGTAACGTTTACTATATAAAATGCGCGCATATGTCTGAAACGGAACGTAGCCATAAACAACTATCCCCCACTTTTACACAATGTACTATTAAAAAATCTTAAATTACATAAAACAGAGAAGAAGAATAAAACATACTTAAATGCTGAAAATACACAACAAAATTATGCAAATGGATCATAAAATATTAGATAAATTCATTGGATCATAAAATATTAAATAAATTCACATTTAAAAAAATTTTTACTACTAGTTTTGCCAACTAACAATACAGAAAAGGCGGAATATTTGAATGTACTTTATAAATTAAATCTTTTTAGTCTGAATTTACAAAAATAATGAAAAAGTCAATATCTTCGAAAATAGTGAGTAAAAGTATTTTTTTAAAAAGAGAGTGAGTAATAGTGAGAAAAGTGAGTCGGTGGAAAGCCTGAAATTCTGTTTCCGAACACGTGGGAATTCTGGACGTAGAAGGACATTGGATAAACCGCGAAGCTCATCCCTACTGAGACGGCAATTTATTCGGATACGAAATTACGCTCACTGACAATTTCGCTGGAAAGTGGAAACCGACTAACTAAATTTGCATAAAAAAATTACTGTTGCACCGCGCAAATCGCAATTTGTGAAGAAAGAAGGAACGTGCGATTTAATACGAAATTTGAATTTCAACCATTCTTTTATTTCTAAAACAGAAAGAGAACTGTATAATGATTTAAAATAACCCTTTGCAACAAATATATTTAATTGTAAGTAGTGCAGCAAAAAACCTATAACATTTTTATAAAAAGATATTAACGTGCATTTTCTTACTGCGCTGACTCTTATTAAGCCTTTTTGAAACTGTATATATTATCATAATTTAATTATAATGTATAGTCATTTGTAGGACAACTATATAGTATAGTATTATATTTATAATTATTTTAACTTTATGAAGAGATATTACTAAAGTATCCAAAAATTTAGCTAGATATAGATCTGAAAATTTTGTTAGACCATCAAAATTTTTAGGTAGGTCATTCATTTAGATATTTTAGCAATTAGTTTAAGTATTAAAAAATTTTGATGATCTAACAAAATTATTTTTAGATCTATATTTATTAGCTAAATTTTTTGTTATTTCAGCAAAATTGTTCTATTTGTAATAATGCAAATATAATTAATTGTGCTGTTAATGATAGTCAGAAACATTATTGCTTGAAAATCTTTAGTTTCTTCTTAACATTTTTCAATTATTATAGTCATGTAAATAATTATAGTTATATCAAGAAAATAGTTATATTTCTTATAATTGTGATTAGATTTACCGAATAAAAATATGTACTTTATTTACTATTTATATCTCGAGAGGTTTTATTGTACGAATATATTTGAAATTATTATAAATAATGTGTAATACAATTTTTTCATGTTTGAGAAAACTTACTTATGGTTATTATTACTAACATATATAATAGTAATAAGAAAAATGGAGCTCATAATTATTTTACTATACAATATCATAAATACTGAACATTTTTCTCTCAATGTTTCTTTGGCGGATTAAAACAACTTAACATGATATTATTACGCGGATTTCCTTTATGAATGACAGTTTTTAATCTTTCGACGATGGCATCTACTTATAAGATCTCAAGTTTCCCTTCTTTTCCGACTTATGTTTAATTTACGAAATGCCATTTGTAAGTTTTCAGACAGAGCTGTTAGCACTGTTAAGGATTAAGATGCTCTTTTATTTTATTTGTGCCATAATGCGACAATAATTTATTATTACGTATTGTAAAAATAAGTATTAACATTTTGGTTTTTATAAACTCAGGGAACAAAAGCATTTCCAAAAAACTAACTGTGCTTCTCTAAAATGGTAACACAGCGTACGTTCTGAAAGAATATTGAAAGAAGTGCCTTCGTATTTTATGTGAAGGTATTTTATGTGAAGATATTTTATGCATACAGCAGCTTTATGCGTACGACCTATTGCGAGAGGCACATAGAACTCAAAGTTGATACAACCTCGACAAATTACAAGGTTCTTTATATTTTCCTACGTTGATTTTCATAGAAACATATATTTTTAATCAATAAGAAATAAAATAATGCGCAGTTGTATAAAACTGGTACATAAAACGTATATAAATTCAAACACAATATTATTTAAACATTAAGATTTAGCTTAGATTGAAAGAGAAAGAGATAAGGCCTTTTCATTTCTTTTTTTATTCTTATCATATATTTTATATACTTATCCAATCGCCGCAAGTGCAAAATATCTTAATGAGCCAATATTTATTTATCAAATGATATAGGAACTTTACATTTTCTTTTAAATTGATCAAGTAACATTTATCACGAGGGAACAATAATTTACGATTCCGAGCGATACAGTAAATCCGTACGTCTTATAGAAACTGTATCTCTTGATTCTCTTGGGAATCATAAATTTTCGAGGACCTTAATCACAACAAGCATCTATGTTTGTTAAGGGGTAAAAAGAATAAATAGCATGAAGAGTGATTACAAAACATGAACCTATCAAAAATATCAACTCGAACGACAATGTCAAATACGCGTATACATATAGCTACCAAAGCAATGGACCGACAGATCCGAGAGGCCTAAACCTACTTTCTATACGTCAATTTTTAATGTATCGCCACGAGTGAATTTAGATCTACTTAGGTTCAATTCCGATGACATTAATTAGCGTCAGCTTTGAGTTAACAAAGCAATTTTAATAAACAATTTCTTTATTTTTATGAATGAAAAAAGGAAACACGTATTATATTCATGTCCTCTGACATCTTCTAATTATATTTCTACTCAGGAAATATTTTAAGATTAAATTAAGATCAAGTTATAGATTTTATGTTATACGACTATTTGTTAAATTATTTATATATGTATATGGTTTATATTGAGAGTACAAATTAGTTCGGACCGTTTTTTTGTGTTCAAAAATGCATTTATTTCAAAACAAAATTAATGAACAGATTAATTAAAGTATTGTCCATCGCTGGCTATTACTTTTTCCCATCTCTCAGGCAATTTTCGAATTCCATCTCGAAAAAAATGACTCGTCTTTGGAGGCGATCCAATTTTGGAGCCAATTTTCGATTTCTGCGAAAGAAGTGAACCGGTGACTTGCCAAATCGTGCTGCATCCTTTGGAATAACCAGTAATCAGAAGGAGCAATGTCCGGAGAATACAGCGGGTGCGGTAAAACAACCCATTTGAGCGTTTCTAAATATTTTTTTACGACTTTTGTGACATGAGACCGAGCGTTGTCATGAAGAAAAATAACTTTATCTCTAGAAAAATAACGTTTTTCTCGCAATGCACGGCTCAAACGAATCAATTGTAGCCGTATACTGATCGCCCGTAATGGAATCGCCAGATTTCAGCAGCTCATAGTAAACAACACCCTTTTGGTCTCACCAGATATAGAGCATGAACTTCGAACCATGAATGTTCGGCTTTGGTGTTGATGGTTGATGGCAATGATTGACCGGACTTAGCGTAGTATTCTTTCTTCTTCGGATTGTCGTAGAATAACCATTTCTCATCTCCAATCACAATCTGATGCAAAAAACCTTTTCTTTGTTGCCTTTGAAACAGCTGCTTGCAAGTGAAAAATCGCCTTTCAACATTTCTTCCAATTTCCTTGTTTTGGAATCATTCCTATAGCTCTTAGTCGTACAGAAACGACTTGTTGAATTACTTCCAATGATTCTGCAAGCTCCTCTTGCGTTTGACTCTGATCTTCTTCGAGTAATGCCTCTAATTCTTTGTCTTCGAATTTTTTTGTCCAGAGCGAGGCTTGTCTTCAACACTGAAATCTCCATCCTTGAAACGTCGAAACCATCATTCCCTACATGATTTATCAGTTGGAGCAGTGTCATCATAAACTTCGACAAGCATTCGATGGGCTTCAGCTGCACTTTTCTTCCAATTAAAGCAGAAAATTAAAACCTCCCGCAAATGCTGCTTGGTTAACGCAAAATTCGAAATTTCAAACATAGTAAAAATCAAGGTTTTTGTGTGAAACTCAAAGCGATATAAACTGAATAATATTAGCAGATGTCTAATCTCTCTGAAACCGCCAAAATCAGCTGTCACTATGAACCATTCACAACAGTCGGAGCCATCTTTTGGAAAATGGACCGAACTAATTTGTACTCCCAATATACAGGGTGTCACACTCCGCGCACAACGCCGCGCGCCGCGAGCCCCAATCATTGTGACTCAGACAGCGGCGCGCTTGCCAGGCAGTTCCCGCTCTCCGCGGTCCGCGCGCCTTCGAGCTATCATGGGCGTACACTGTTGGCAATAGTAGGCCGGACGGACACATGTATTCGGTAATTTTTACCAATTATTATCTCGTTGACTATTGCGAAAATTGTAAAACGGTAGAGGACTTTTCGACTCAGTTCAGTCCGCTCTACCTATTCGTGTAATATTTTCCGGTTAGTCGGAACACCCTGTATAACAGATACACTTTCATTTCAACTATTGTATTCACACATAAGTAATATTAATAACAATTTCTATGCAACGTAATAATATAGTTACTTGATACTACCTTTCAAATGTTACCCACACAGCACGAAATCGACTTTAGTTGACTATCAGGAGACGCGGTAGCGTCTCCGGCCGTGTTCAAAAACTAAGAGACGCTACAAGTCTCTTATCCCGAGCAACCAAAGTCCATTTTTGGGAGGTGCATAACTACTAAAATATAAAAAATTTTGAATCGAACGTCATATGTCCTGAAAGGCGGCATCGCCACGAGTAATTCGAGACAAAAAAATTTTAAATCGGTCAAGCCGTTATGGAGATACAAGCGGTCGAAAAGTGATGATTTTAATGAAAAATTAAGAAACGTCTCCTCCTCTGTCCGTCTGTCCGTATTTAAGAACTTTTTAACATCCTGTTTTACCTTTCACTCACACCTCCACCATCATTGGCCCACCGGACCTCCACCACTTACCTCCTCCCATCCCCCACCAACCACCCCCGCCACCCTCTCTTTCGCGGTATTTCACTCTTTTTCGTTATTACAACTCTTTGACATCCTCTCTCACCTTTCACTCGCACCTCCACCATCTTCGGCCCACCGGACCTCCTCCACTCGCCTACCCCTTCCCTCTCCCACCCACCCCCGCCCCTTCTCTTTTTCGCGGTATTTCACTCTTTTTCGTTATTACAACTTTTTGACATCCTCTCTCACCTTTCACTCGCACCTCCACCATCTTCGGCCCAACGGACCTCTTCCACCTGCCCCTCCCCCTCCCCCATCACCCACCACCACCACCCTCTCTTTCGCCGTGATTCACTCTTTCTCGTTATTACAACTTTTTAACATCCTCCCTCATCCTTCACTCGCACCTCCACCATCATCGACCAACCGGACCTTAAAATATTAATTAAAATAAGAACCCGACTGCTGACTGGTACGACGAATATTTGAAAAGAAAAATTTTGAAAAATTATCTTATTTAATTGTAAAAAATTTTATTTAAAAAAATTTGCTTTAAATGAAGGTAATAAAGAAAATCGATGCGTTATTATCAGACGGTTAGTGAAAACAATCTTGGGGATTGTTTTGATGTGGAAGGGCGGATGCGCGCGAGTTTCATATCCCCCCCTCACCCGGGTCACCGATAAACCGAGCAGTCATCTTTTAAATAAATATATATTAAATAAAATTATTGTTTTAAATACTCCCGACTGCTGACCGATATGACGTATATTTAAAACCATCGCAGTACTCTCACGAGTTAAATTGTAATATATTACCACGAAAAGTAACTGATTATTAATTATTAAAGTTGCCAATAGAAAGTGAACATACGTAAAGTGTATTCGACTGTCATGGGACACTTCGAACTGCCTACGGAGTGGTGAGGGGGACAATGCAACATTTGGTTGATTTTCGAATCGCCTCCGTCTAGCTTTCGCTGTCCCTATCACAACATATATATTTGCGCACCGCGCATGATATATTACAAGGAAAAGTAACTGTTTTACATTAATTTAATAATTTTGATTTATAATTACTACGAAAAGTAACCGTTTTACATTTTTTAATAATTTTGTTTTATAATATGCAATCCCGTTAACGAAAAAAAATTAATATGTTGCTATAAAACTAACGTATCAATATTAGGCGGTTCGTGAAAGCAGCCTTGGGGATTGTTATCAAAACAACACATCAAGTGGAAGGGTGAATGCGAGTCGCACGTTCCCCCCTCGCCTGGCTCACCGATAAATCGTGCAGTCATCATTTAAATACATATTAAATAAAATTATTATTTTAAATACTACCGACTGCTGACCGATATGACGTATATTTAAAACTATCGCAGTACAATCACAAGTTAAATTGTATATTACCACGGAAATTAACTGATTATTATTTAAAGATGCCAGTACAAAGTGAAAATACATAAAGTGTATGTAACTTTCGGCCGATTTTCGTATTGCCTCCTCTTTCCGCTGTACCCCTCACGTCATATTAAATACATATATACATATTTGAAATATATATTGTAAATAATAAAATTATTTTTAATACTCCCGACTGTTGACTGGTATAAGAAACATAAAATAAGCTTTGAAAACTTATTTAAAAGAAAAAATATCATTTTTATTAAAACATGTGTTTTAAATAACTTAATTTTTTAAAAATGAAAGTGGTAAAGAACGTTTAATCCCTTACAGAATTAAATTTAAAGAATTAATTACATAACTGGTACACTCAGTCCTTCATTTTTTAAATAGTTTTTTATAGGATATAGTAATTTGACTTTAAATTATTTAAAACATAATGAAATCTAACCAATTAGTATTTTATCGCTTTGAAATGTGATTTTAACAGCACGAATATTTTAATTAATATGATAATGTAATAATATGCACCGAAGATATACGATCACGTTAATGAATAAATAAAAATATGTTGTCCAAAGTCGACGCGTTAATTAATACGCCTC